AGCCTCCAGAAGGGGCTGCGGCGCGCGTTGTCGCCGCTGGTGCCGCTGGCTGTCCTCGTGGCAGGCGCAGGTCAAGTCTTCCAAGTTGTCCTTGGCCAGACCGACACTTTTGGAGAATACTCGGTTTTGTGGCATGCGCCGGTCGTGCAAGAACGAGTTCCTGAAGTGACAGCTTTCTGGGAATTTCTCAGCACCACTGAATAATCCAAAGAGGCAGGCTTTCAGTTTGACAAGGATTGGGAGACGCCGTTGAAACGCCTACGAGGTCTGCGTGACGGGATGCCCGAACAGGAACGTCATAGCGATGCCTGGCACAGCGGGGATACGCCGATGGAAGCCGCACTGAGACTGTGATAAGACATGCGTTGATCAGACTTGTTGTTTGTTGAGCCACTGATCGTCTGTGATCTGTGATCGCGGGCGACTGTGTAATGTCATCGAACTTTTGCATACTTGGATCGCTTCAGCACAGCCGCTTTGGTTTGGCGAGTCGACGAGCATCTCATCTAACTTTTGCATACTTGGATCGCTTTAGCACAGCCGCTCTGGTTTGGCGAGTCGACGTGACGAGCTTGACAGACTATGGCGATACGCTGCTGCGAGCAGATCAAAAAATCACCGCTGCTTCGCATTTCCATTCTATTGTTGGAGTTCGATCGTGTAATTGATATACCGGATGCTTTGTGACATGTGACCTGCTGTGTGGCTTGACTGGGGCATTTTTTTTAGAAAATGGGGGGTGCATTCAAGGGATCCACCAGCTCGGTGGCCAGTCAGACCTGATCCATCGTTTCTTGGCCTTGAAACCTCTTCAGGCCGACCTGTTGGTCAAGCGGACGACGGTAGTGATTCCATGGAGACTGGATCTCTCGCTTCGCAGCCCAGCCTCTCAGGAGATCTACGACCTGCTGACCAGAGAGCATTTGAGCGGACCATCTGTGAGATATCCAGGCTCGAAACACGTAACCCGTGCAACATGGAGCCATACGACGATGCGATGTCTGCTGCCTGCGCTGCTTTGCAACGGATGATTCAGAGCAGTTTGGACACGCCGATCGAGGATCAGCCAACACTCGACCGGCTTTTGGCGCCGCACCAGTATCACTTCGGTGATATTTCAGATTGGCCAAATGACATCTGTGAAATACTTCCTGGGGAGATGATGTCTTTGGAACCGCCTGAGATCTACTTTCTCGGGAGCTTGGCTGCCTGTCGCCATCTCCGGACTCACCAGGAAACTGTCCCACTTTCCTATCGCAAGGTGTCGGTTGTCTTGAGCTTTTGTCCGCGGGAGATGAAACGTATTCGTGGGCAGCCAGAGGTGGGCTGGAAAGCGTGGTTTGAAGATCTCAAAATTCGGTGGTTTACGTTCGACGTGGACGATCCCAGAACATACTTGGATGACACCAATACTTTTTGTCAAGAAGTGGGAAATGCCTGGTTGTCATCGTGGATGGACATGTGCTGCGCTCTTCTGAAGCACTTGAAGGCAACGACTCAGCGAGAAGAACGAGGCATCCTCTTTCATTGCTTCGGCGGGGTCAACCGCAGCTCAGCGGCATCGTGCGCATGGTTGATCTTTCGTCGTCAGCTCTCTGCGGAAGCGGCTGTACAGAGCTTGTTGACGGCCCGTCCCACGCTTCACCCCTGGAAGCATCGACCGCATGTCTTCTGGGCATTGCGTACTTGGGCGAAGAACCTAAGTTCCTTTGTAAGACCTCGCATTTTTGCTGCAGTTCAAGAACTGTGAGCTAGCATGCCGGCGAGTCGACGTGATGAGCTGGACAGACTGTGGCGATACACTGCTGCGAAAAGAGTCGAAAACAACGCTGCCTTGCGTTGTATAACGACTGACGGAGTTCGTTTCTCAAAAGAATTGGCACTGACCAAGTTCGTTTCTGACATCGACACTTCTGATGTTTTGTGCTAGCCTCCGCCTTCAGTGTTGAAAATATACTGACTAGTCGTGCGAGTTAACCGGGGCTCAGGTCCTGCCTGGAGCTCACTCTACATCTCTGCGTGACAGAAAAAAAAGCGTGTCTCACCTCTTCTTGCTTTACATCCTGCTAACACTGCCCGCCGTGGTCGGGATAAGACCACTTGATAGCTTTGATGGTTGTTTCGAATGTGTTACGTTTTGAAGGTCGCATGCGGATCTGATCGCAAAATCCAGAGCCTCCAAACTTCTCTCTCCGGCTCCTTCTCTCTCTCTCTCTCTCTCTCGTCCCTCTCGTCCCTCTCATCCTTGTTCATCGCATCATCAGACACTTTATCACACACCCACACACACACACACACACGCGCGCGCCATCTTACCACACACACACACACACCTCCTCCCTCCCCTCCTTCTCATCCTTGTCCATCACATCATCACTTATACTGCACGTCTGAGCACAACCGCCTCATATACCTTCTCTCCTCACACTTCGTTCTTGACTTTTCATCTCACTACTCCGTCTCCCATGTGATGTTCATATACAATTGAAATTTGTAAAACTTATCATGTGGGGTTATCCGGTCCTTTTATTAGTAGTAGTAGTTGTTGTTGTTGCTGTTGTAGTATATAGTTGTTGTTGTTTTTAGTAGTAGTAGTAGTAGTAGTAGTTGTTGTTGTTGTTGTTGTAGTTGTTGTGGTAGTAGTAGTAGAAGTAAGTAAGTAAGTAAGTAGGTAGGTAGGTAAGTAAGTAAGTGAGTAAGCAAGTAAGTAAGTAAGTAAGTAAGTAGCAGTAGGAGGAGGAGGAGTAGGAGTAGGAGTAGGAGGAGGAGTAGTAGCAGCAGCAGCAGGAGTAGTAGTAGTAGTAGTAGTACGAGTACGAGTACGAGTACTAGTAGTAGTTGTCGTCGTCCTCTTTGTCGTCGACGTCGCGTCGTCGTCTTTGTTGTTGTCGTCGCAGTCGTGGTTATGGTAGTAGGTAGGTAGTATGTATGTAGTAGGTAGGAAGTAGTAGGGTAGTATGTAGGTAGTAGGTCGTAGTATATAGTAGGTAGTAGGTAGTAGGTACTAGGTACGAAGTAAGTAGTTCGTAGTTAGTAGTTAGTAGCAAGCAGCTAGTAGCAGCTAGTAGCCGCTAGCAGCAGCCAGTAGCAGCCAGTAGCAGCTAGCAGCTGCTAGTAGCTGCAGCTGCTAGTAGCTGCAAGTAGCTGCTAGTAGCTGCTAGCAGTAGCAGTATTAGTAATAGAAGTACTAGCAACTAGTAGTAACTAGTAAGTATGTATGTATGTATGTATGTATGAATGAATGTAAGTAACTAACTAACTAAGTACGTAAAAGTAAAGTAAAGTAAAGTAAAGTGAGTGAGTGAGTAAGTAAGTAAGTAAGGAAGCAAGCAAGCAAGCAAGAGTAAGTAAGAGTAAGTAAGTATCAATAAGCAAGTACGAATAGGCAAGTAAGAGTAGTAAGTAAGAGTAAGTAAGTGGGAGTAAGTAAGTAGCTATAGGTAAGTAGTACTAGTGGTAGAGTAGCACTAGTACTAGTACTAGTACTAGTAGTAGTAGCAGCAGTTGTTGTTGTTGCCCCTTCAAGAAAAATTAACGGGCTCTTATTGAAAGGTCCTTTTGCCTTTTCTTGATGTTTTCTTCAGCAAAAACGTGTTCCGTCTTGCACTCCTCGGAATCCCCATCCTTTGACTCCTGGCGCCAAGAGTTCAAGTAACAAACAGCTGCAATCTGCTTACTCGGGTGTTGCAAAAAAGACTGTACTGTAGACACGAAACACATTACTATCAGTCATGTCGATCCTCGGCGCGCTTTCCACGGCCAACTCCAAATATCTTAATCATCCTCGGTTTTGCTGTGCTCTTGTTGCACTAGCCATGATCAACCCTGTGCAATCCAAACACTTGCACAGCAAAAGTGACTGCTCCAAATCCAGTAGGAAAGAACTGTTCTGCAACGCGAGCCTTGCAAAGCCAGTGGCTTGCCCTTCTTGGCCCTTCCCCCTTGGAGCCCTGTGAGCCAAGAGCCAGCGTTTAAAAGGCTCGCTCAGCAAGTGCCTCTGTGGGTGGTCTGTCATCTAGATCCAAGTTGGCTGTCATCTTTTCTTTCTTGTAGCTCGAGGAGCTGCACACAGTATTTGTCTCAGGCCACTGGACATACTCTGACTCCATGTCAGTGAGTCAGTTGGGCCGTGAGCTGACTCCAGCGTCTACTAATTCCCTAACGTGACGACCATCACTTTCGGATGGCAACGCATCGATGCGGTAAAAGTTGGTAAAAGCTGTCCATTATGGGCAGGCAGGTTCGGTCTGGTAGGTTGGCTTGGAGAGCATTTCAGCAGCAACCACCACCAGGCCTGTGCGATCCGTGTTCTGTCCCAAATGCAACTATCGGAGAGGTTTCAAGGGCTTCACTTCTCCGGGATTTAATCCACTACACAGCCAATGCCAAGCTTACGCAATGGTTACAGTACTATGTTTTGGAAGTTATATAGTGAGTCTCAAGACCAGTCAAGACCTAGCCTTTCGACAATTAAGGGCACTTCAGTGTGAAGCCACAACGCTAGACAACTTGCCTTCCGCCACAGCAGCCGTTTGTTCGCCTATGGAAGACCATCCAAACATAGGGCAAAAATGCAAATAAAGCCATCTCGCCTCTTCTTGAGCTCAATCTGCTCATTTATGCCCTCAAGGTCGTAGCCTGATGTCAAATGATGTCAAATGCAAATACTTTGAGAAGCCAGCTACACCTGTCTAAGGTTCACCTGATTTGGACTTCTTGGCCAGGCCTTTTTCGTAGAGCTCCTTCTTGGTTGGGTCGGTCAGCACTTCATAAGCTTCTCCGATACATTTGAACCTGTGCCACAATACACACACCACCGGCCGCACTTAGGCTGTGTCAAGAACGGCACAGGAGTCAGCATGCAGTTTTGCAAAAGTTTAGCAATCACATCTATGTTTAAACGCTGAGGTGTTGGCATCTCTTCAGCATTCTTTTTGGATGCCTTTAAGGCTGCACTGCAACCCTTAATCAGTCTGAAAGGCTACAGTAACACTTATTGTATAGGGAGAGATAGCTGAGCTTAGGCACACTTCCGTTGTTCAACTTTACGTCAGAATTTCAGGTCACCAACTGTTGCCGTGCAGAACCCTGGCCTCATCCAGGTGAGATTTCTTGTCTGGGTGCCATTCAGCAGCACGTTCTCTATATGCCTCACGGCGCTCCGCTACAACTACTACGAGATAGATCGAGATAGCAGCTAGGATGCTATGGTTCCATCAGTCTTCACCGTGCCTTCTTGATCTCAAGTTGTGATGCCACGGAAGGCACTCCGAGCACCTCGTAGTAGTTCCTCCTCTTGTGCTTCCTGATGATCAAATCTCGGACTGGGTGTACACTACAGCACTCCAATGGGGAAAAAGGCATTAACCATGGTAGTACCTCAATACAAACAATACAGCAAAAGAGCGGTGTGGTAGTACCTCAGCAAGAACTTGGCTTCTTCCAGCTTGTGATAGACCTAAGACCAATGGTAATCACCACCAATTGGTTTAAGTTTCCACCTTTCAGCCCCTAGGTGACTGGCGCTTTCCACTTGATGCCATGAAAGGAGTGACTGGTCAAGGCGGTCAAGGACAAAACAGCGACAAGGCTAATACATCAATCATATAGCAAAGGCATACCACCAAAAGAATCACAAATAACACTTGAGGAAGATAGTTGGAAACTATGGCCTCAAGTTCTTTGACTGCATCCTCGTGGCGTTCAAGCGCCTTGGAGATGAGTTGCTGAGCTTGAAAGGTTTCACAGAGTCAGTGACCGAACTGGAAGATCATGTTAAATGTGTTCTGTGGTCGTGGCCTGAAGCGCCTGCGCGCGATAGAGGTAGGGCTGCACAAGCCTAAGAAGCTCACAATGAAAGAAGACGGTGGGCGATGTCTTTCAATGCTGTCTTCGGACTGTTATATAGTTCTCAGATTATGAAGGCCACTTGACTTTGGTTTCCTCCGCCTTCCTCAGTTTCGAACGAATGGTTTCTGTAAGTAGCTTGACCAACATCTTTTATTACCTGGGCAGACTCGGAGGAGCACGAAGCACGAAATAAAGTCTCTAGGGCCTCTGACTAACGCTAATATGCTCAGTACGCGGCACCTCGCCAATCTTTCAATCGCATGCAAGCTTTGGCTCGCTCAGCATAAAGTGATGCCATCAAGACCTTATTATTACCGTTACCAGCCATCTATTGCATTGAACTTACATTGGAAAGACTTCGTGGCTGGAGCAAGAAACAAAACAGGCGCGTGCAGGATGATCCTGGCAAAGCTCCAACATACCTTGATCAGGACTCCAAAGGCTCGCAGGTAAGTGTACTGTGGGACGGTGCAACCGAACAATGAATAATCTCAGCAGCCAGCTGTCGATCACTGCTTGACCTTGTTCAAATTCACCTGAAGCAACCCACGACCCATGACCAAGCAAGTCTGCCCACAGTGCTTGGGGAGAAAGAATGTTGTGGTAGCTTGGTTCCTTGCACTTCGCACACACGGCTAGTAGAAAGAAAATCACCTTCTCAAATCACTTTGCGGCCGAGGGGCGAGAATCCATCAACTCCTCCACATTAACTGCTTGTGCATGTGTGTAGTCACGCAGTAGCAGTGCCACCATTAACAACAAGGAGTAATTCACCACCTACAATCATATTTCATCCGCCACCCAACACCCAGAAGGGAAAGGATCCCACAACCCCCGGATGAACATACTCCAAACACGGTGATACTCCTATCTGGCGCACAACCTCCGAAGAGTGACCTTACATGCTGCCTTACAGTACATGGACTTTTTTTGGAATGTGTTCACATTGGGATGTTTGGATCTCTTCCTGGATACCACCTAAACCACTTGCCTGCTACCTGCTAGGTATTTCGTACCTTGGTGACTACTTGTCCTCTTCTCACTACGCGCTACTTCACGCATGAACTGTAACTACAACCTACTACAATTCTTGCACCTGTGGACTCTCGCACATTGAATGACTCAATCTCATTACCTATAGATATTTTTCCACTTTTTGTTCCCCGCTCAGCACTGGCATGGGGAAACAGGCACTTTGGAGAGAAGCAAACCAGCTAAATATGAAAGTCATAGAGGCTGTTCAGGCGATCTAGGTCTACCGTTGTGACCACACTGAAGGCTGGTTTTTCTGGAGGTTTCTCGGGAACCACATCCCAATCAACTCCATCTGACTCCAAGTGAACACTGCGTATCTTTTTGTGCACATGGATTTCTCGGCAGCTCGAAAGTGCCACTTCTAAATTTAGACGACTAGTAACAGTACTCCTTTTAGCCCCTCACCTCCTCCTTGTCTTACTCCTACTCCTGCTATTTCCTGTTCAAGTAACACAGCCACTGCTGCCCTTATATGGACGTCTGATTCGAGGACACGACAGTTCAAGCATCAGTTCACAAGCGTCCTTCAGCTCAGCGTGCTTGGTGCAAAGACTGCGGAGGCGTTTTCTCAAGGCCTTGCAGCAAGTGGATGGCAGCTGCGTTCTTCGTGTGATAAAAGATTGTTGATCCTACGTCCTCGCGGTTCTACATGAATGTTGATGATGCTATATTTCGCACATCACCTCGTCACATCAGAACAAACCATAAACGCCCTACCTGAGCCTCAGAATGATCTGGGTCGAGGCTAAGAGCCTGAGGACATCAAAGCTCCTATGATGATCTTGTCTGACCTGTTTCAAAAGCAGCCAGTGTTGTTCCAAGAACCACACCTCTTTTAGCAGCCGTTGGCCCTGCTCTAAAGGCTCTACCTCAAGTCAATCCATCATGAGTGACTTGAATGGCACGGCTACAGTCAAAACTAAGGTTCGTACCCATTGTTTGGAGTCTGCTGTAGCATTGTGATTCCGATAGAGAGCCTGGCTGCGCAGTAAATTTTATGGTGGCCAAAAGCCTCTCCACATCCTTCCCCTTCATGCAACTGAGGACTTGGACATACTTTGCTGCGCAATTGGGAGCAGCAAACTCATGGTACATTTGAACCCTACATTGCCTGATGTTCAGAGAGCACAGGGAAGTGACGTCCAACACAAAAACACCCATCCCTGCAAACACAGTGGTTGCTTCAGTGGTTAACATCACTACGCGCTATGCTTTGATTTGACTGGGCCCACGTCGCCCTGGTGCACATTATAAGAACCATGAGGGTGGGCGGGCATGCCGTGCGCCTGGGGAGCGCGAGCGCGCGTCTGAAGAGCTGCGTTTTAGCACGGCTCGCAACTGAGGTGGAAATATGTTGATACTTTTCATCATCAACGTCTGTCCTTTGCTCTGAGCCAGAGAGTTCGCAATGAATCATGAATCACATGCGAAGTATGCGCGTATAGTTCTACAGTTTTGGCCGACTCAAGCCATCAGAACAATCGGCTGAGATGCCCAACTCAACTGGTTCTGAGTTGAAGTGGCGGGAAGCCGCAAACCATCAAGAAGGGGGTCTGTCAACCGTGTTGCTGTTCCCATTCAAAACTTGCCCCAACAGCGTTGTGTCCAGCCGTGGTTGCCTTGCAGAATCAACCTCTTATCCGCAGCGAATGGCCGGGCCCCCTGCCCCATTGCAGAGCCGTTAACGGAAATGAGCCTCCAATCTCTCGCAACATCGAACATTGGCAGCATAAAGCCAGGAGGCTCTTTTTCTGGCACTTGACGGCAGAACCTGGGGCGGATCAAGCCCTATGACGATGTCCTGAAGCAACCCTCTGCCGCAATGTCAGTTTGCAATTTCACACTCCATGAAAGGCACGTCACTTTAAGGCTACGCATCGAACAGTTCACCATCACATCAGGCCAACGGCAGAGTTGTGCTAGTGAACGGGGGGAGTGGGCCATCATCACGTGGACAGCAGCGCTAAAGATTCAAACATTGGTGAGCGTTCCTCCCCAGTATTGAAGAAGCAGGGGCTGCACCATACTCAGGGCTGAGGGCTGGTGGCTATGGCAAGGCCTCACGCCGGACGTTGGTCCTCTTGTGGCTTGCAATCGACGAATGCCTTGAAGGCGACCCAGAAAGTTGTCCACTTGTCCAACCCAAGCTTGCCAACGAAACCCAAGGCATGGACGACATTCGCGCCACGCAGGCCGCAACCACTTGAAGTACGTCTGAAGGTGGCCTGGCCTATTCCCAAGCAAAGGACTCACCTGAAGCCGAGGGAAACTACTGGCTTTAGGTTAACCTGACTGCGCCGCGCATCGGAGCTGCGAAGAAACCGGCCACTTGCTAGAAGCCTTCAACCATCCAGATAACAATCGTTTTACTGTGCTCTGAGGTTGTTCACTGCCATTAGCATTGGAAGTTGTGTGCAAGGCCGCGGGCATTAAGTAATCGCAGCGCCCAAGTTTCTCAATCCAGTTCCTTCTTTGCGCCGGCACGGACTTCAAACAGGCAACCCCTCAATGATCCCAGCCTTTCAAGCTCTTCAAATGTCTGGCCAGTGACAAGCTCAGGAAAGGTGAAAGCCACTTTGAAGCAGCGTGCAGTCCTCACACTTTGCGCTGGTCAAGTTTCCATCGGTGGCACCGTTGAACGTCGAACCTACAACGACACCTGAGCCTGAGCTGCCCCCACACACACACACACTCCGGAGGTGCAAGTTTGGAATAGTTTGGATGGAGTTGCAGACTTTCCGTGGGGGTGCAATGTTCGATGCATGTACATGCTGGCGTTGGACCAGCTCGGCTGCACCAAGTGTCCAACAGAAAGGACTGCCCCGCAGCTATGGCCGGCTATGGCCAGCAGGTCGAATTTTGCAAAAATTGCGGATGCTTGTAGTCGCCATTGGTCACCTTTCAAAGCATGGGGGTGCCATCGTGCGCTTTCATTCATGTGCCCTTGGTGGCACAGGTCGCTAACTTGGGTGTAGGCCTATTCCCAACCTTCATGCAAAAGTTCGGCCCACTGCCTGTAGAAGTGAGTGCTCTGCGTAATCAACGACAGTGCGCATTGGCTGGCAGCGAGGAGTCCCCCAGCAATTGCTGCACTGACGCCATGCATTGGGTGAGCAGAAACCTATACATCAAACTCTGAAAGTGCCCTATTCTTAACACTTGCTCCGCACCAGAATCCGCAAAAAGTATCACATGTACTGATCTGGCACTACAGCTGAGGCTCTTCGCGAGCCAAACTCTTGCTGAAGCCTTTCTGCTCAATGCCAAAATGGAACAAATCAAATCGAAAGGAAATCTTCTGAAGCCGCTCAACAGCATCACTTGGAGTTCCAACCTGTGTCCGCAAAAGAAGTGCATCGATGCTGGTGGGATTGGACCGCAAAATCTGTTGCGTAGTGTTCCTGGCAATGAAAGCCCGTTTGCAAATTGCATAGGCAGTCTCAGCTCATCTATAGTATTTTCTGAATGTCTCTGCCGTAAAATGCAAACTGCATCACATAGAGTTGGCAAATTGATCCAAAAAGCAATTTCGTCAGCTCTGCAACACCCTCGGATACTGTCTCAGGTCCTGAGCAAACATCCACTGTTTACAACTTCAACTGGTGAAGAGATTAGTCAAGCTGAGATACCAGGTAGCAGTGGGCCATTTTCAGCGTCAGCGGTGGGTAGTCAAACAGAACCTTGGGAAACGACCGCAAAATGCTGTAAGAACTCATTCTAGGCCAGAGATGACTGAACAACACCCAATCCCATCAAATGTGGCCCAATTTCTCAGCTGAGCCAACAACGCTAGACTCCAAGTTTGCGTACATGTTCAGTGCCTTGCTTGAAGTGCGATTAATCGCAAGTAAACCTCACCAAAACGGAAGCTAAGTCTGTTAAGATACCCCAAATCAACAGGTAAGAATTTGGTAAAAGGCTGCTCTCTTTGGGAGCTCCGCTGCCAGTGGGCCATGAAAATCTATTTCAACCATAGTCGTCTTTCCTTTGTGTTCAGCAGATTTTCAGAGTGCACCCTTGATGAGCAAGGGTGGAACACTTCAATTCTTTCCGTGTTTTGTGCAATCTTCACATCTGCCCATCCATCCCTGCTCTACATACATTGTGCCTTATGCAAGCTGTCTCAGTCTTACTGCTCCTCACACCCGCTCTTCAATGTGTTCCTAAAGTTTGCACCGCTAATTTGCTTCTCAAGTGTCCAAGCTTGATCTCTCCCACGCACTGTTCACGTGTGATTCCGTGAGCATGTTCTCCGAAGCATGTTCCGCGAGTTTTTAACGGAAGGATTCTCTGCTAGACGTGAGTCTACAACGTAGCAGCATCAAACCTGCAAGTTTCTGGTGAAACTGCTCTTCAAAGCTCCTTAAAACAGCTTTCGAGAGTATCAAAATGCAACGAAGCTGGTGGTCAAAAGTGGCATACACCTATAGCTTCCAAAAAAACTAAAAGTAGCAGCGTGGGATGAATCAAGCAGTCTGACTTGCTCACCTTTGCTGGCTCGCCCTTTGAAAGTGCCTCGTTCCGCCAAAATGCAAAAAAAACTGCAAACTGCAAATGTTTGGCAACACGATAAGGTCACCAAGTCTTTGATTTTGCTGATTTCTTTCTTCAACCCTTCTCAGCTTGCTCAGAGAAGCAAGATTGATGCGCAGGCTGCTCCGCCCACCTGATCAGCTTCAGCCAAGGTTGCCTCTGTGCTTCCTGCGAACTGTCAGTTTTAACAAGGCTGACACATGCCTAAAGCATCTATATATCATTCAACATATGAGTTGAACATGCATCAGCCCCAAGCCTATTTGCTTCAAGGCATTCGTCAAGGCAGAGTCCTCTCCATTTACCTCACAAACAAAGTTCAATAATATCTTGGTAGCGCACATAAACACACCTCAATCAGGGGTTTGGAATCTCGTGTCGCCTCCCCAACAGTAGCTCTTGCAGCAGCAAAGTCACCTCGTGCAACCTCAGTCTTGCGGGGTGGTTCCAAGTCGCCAGAAACTGAGCATGAATTGCAGCATGAATGTCAAACGGCACGTGTCCATGCCTTCATGATGTGTCATGTGTTTCGTTGGTATTCTATCTGAAGCAAAACTGGCCTGGGCAGAAGCCAATCGAGCACGAACCTTCGAGTTAGATGAGTCCAATGCCTAAGCCAAATTTGTATCTTTTTGCCGGTCAGACTTTGTAAAGTTCCTACATCATCCTACAACCTAAACACCTTAATTTAATAAAGCAATTTAATAAAGGGAGAACCACTTGTCTGCAAGGGTAGTAAGCAAAAGTCTTGTTCAGCAAGGTGAGGCCGTCACGAGCGACTCTTCACAGGCAGTGGCGCATTCGGCCGCCTTCTTCAGCATGAGGCACCTTTGTTTCTGGCGCAGCACTTCTCTGAAAACAAAACGACCAATGCCACTGAGGTGCAATCAAATGAATCACACTTTCTCAGACCCAAGGGCTTCACGCTGCTGCGATATTTCCCAGCAATTGAGCACGCAAACCAGCGTCGTCAGCGGGAGCCAAGTCCTCCCACAATGATATTGAATGTGGGCTGGCGTCACACCGTTCCAACTCAAGCCAAACACGTCCGCGTAATGCCAAAAGCTTAAGACAAACAATGCTTCCTCTATTTCCTCTACCCTGATGTGGGTGTGCGTGTGCGCGCGTGCGCCAACCCCTGTCTCAAAGGGATCGAGGCGAAACACGACTTGTACAAACGCAGGAGGGAGAGAGGATTTGCAAAGCTCCGCCCAACAAAGCTCTTTGCAAAAGTCCTAGGAAGCGAAAGCTGATCACTTCCGTGTACCTGCACGTGTTTTTGAACTTATTCGATGATGCAGAAACAAGCTTGTGTTCGTGGCCATGCCGCGGGGCTGTTTCACATGTCGTTTGCACTAGACTAATAACCCGGTAAAGCGCTAGCCCCTGTAACTAGATTCGAAGTGCTAGTGAGTCAACTGCTATTCAACTGCCAAAGGCCCCTTCCAGGCTTCACCCTGAGCGTGTGTGCGTGTGCGTGTGTGTGTGTGTCAACCCCTGTTTCCAAGGGCGCTAATCTAGCTACTTCTACTACTTCTGCTCGCAAACTGGAAGTCTTGTACAAAAAACTCCGCATGGGGTGGTAGCAAGGCAGCGAGTCTACCACCAACGAAGACGCTCTCTGAGCCTTGGTGATACTGGGACTGATCATCCCAGCGTACCTGCACAATTTTAACTGATTCTCCACGTTTCACCTATGTTCAAACATTCTGTTCGACTGACTCTGCACTTCTTTCCGTTGAATCAAGTCAAGTGCTAAGTATTCACCTAAAGAGCTAATGATCCCCGCGAACAGCTTGAAATCGCGCTCCGCGAAGCAACCTTCTCAAGTGTGTTTCCGCAGCCTCTTCCCACCGTGGTAAGCTGTGTGATCCCTACGGGGCGCCGTTACTGCAAGAACCTTCTCACTCCTCATCGCAGGAGTAAGTTCCCTGAAGTTTTTCTGAAGTTCACTCGACTGAATTTTCCTGCTCGAAATCAGCTTGATTGGAACGTCTCACCTTGTACTCGTGAATTTTACTGCAGAGTTCACTGAAATATCCCACTGAAATATACTGCAGAGTTCAACTGCATCAGTTTCACCCGGGAATCCTTTTCATTTTAACCTTTTCATTTTAACTTTTCTTCAAAGATTTTTAACAGATCAATTTTTCAAGCAGACTTTGATTGTCAACAGTCAGTCGCTCACTCCTCCACATTACAGTATTGTATTGTATAATATTTTTCTTACAAGTTCAAGGAATACTTTGATTTACATATTTACATACACCGATTTGATCAGATTTGCAGAGCAGCCATGACGTATCCTTGGCCGTATTCACTACCACCACACATTCCGCAGCAACCGCAGCCCACGCAACCACACTGGTTTCCTTACCCACCACAAGCTCCACCGCAACCTTATCCAACACTGCCACCAGTTCCACCACATCACCCAGCACCTCATTTCTACCCACACCCTGCAACTTTTCCATCTCAATCTCACTACATGCAGCCTACACCACATTTTCAACCACAAATGCCACATTACCCCGTACAACCTTCACCTACCGCCCTGCAGCACACTACTTTGGATTCCGTTCAGCACACGCCACCACACCACTACCGCCACAACACACTCCTCAGACAACAGCACAGCCAACTCCGCCTTCCATCGGCTCCCACACACGCAACACCCCCGGCAGTACCAGACAACACATCAAACTCAGCCACAGCTCCAGCACCTGCTCAACCAGCAACTTCAATCCAGCACACTTCTCAAGCCACTACTACCGAACAAACCACTTCACCAGCCACTTCAACACCCATTGCACAGCCCGCCAATCCTACGCCACCAACACCTGTGGCTCGCACAGCCAGGCCGACGCTCTATTGCACCCACACTCAGCACCACACGAGACATATGGCGTGACCCAGACCGCTCACCCCCACGCACACAAGAACATCGCCGCTACTCAGTATTTCCAGCTGTCCCAACCAGCACGGCATCCCAGGCTACATCCAGATCCCGAACACGCACTCGTTCTCCACTACCACGCAGGAGACGTTCTTCCACACAATCCATTTCCAGCTCTCAACAAAATCCAACACCTTCCCAGAGCGGTACACCTCAGCAACCACCTGCGGCTCCAGATAAGTCACAGCCAGCCACCACTACAAAACCCTCACAACCAGCCGCAGAACCAGCTTCGCGTTCTCATCCCATCGCACTCAAACCCAACCCACTCTTCAGCTCCAAGCGAACCACCACCACACCACCTACAGCACCCACACCACCAACAACCGATGCTACAGCGGTTCCAGTACAACGGCGACCACACAATTTACCGATACCCAAATTTCAACCACCCAGATCCAGCACAATTGGAAGTCTTCCAATGGATCAACCAGCACGCACGTTCACTTAACATCTACAATGAAACCATGATCTCCTACGTGGCCAAGGTGCTTACAGCAGCTCATCTCAACAGCACCCACTTTACTGACACGCAGCTTCTCACCCACACAAAATGGAACGATGACACCAATCGCAATGAACACCACACCTTCCTCATGCTCACTATCCCAACACTAGCAAGCAGAGGAGACGCACCGACGCTTCCACCCACGAGAAGGGAAGCATTGAATATCCCTCCGATCAAACACATCTTCGCCGCTCATGTAAGCGAGGAGGGAAACATCATTTCCATTCTTGAAGCAGGTGAGATTGTTCGTTCTGTCCTGCACGACGAACATAATGTTGGCTTTTTTTAGCCAAGCTTTTGAGCTTAGCAATTACGAGGAGCACGATGCCACCGAAGCCGCTCGAGTTCTCTTTAATGCATCAAATATGTCCAAGAACCGGAGCGGTCTTATTCTCACCATCAAGGCTTACGGCCATGGACAAAAAGTGACCCATGGAGGCGAATCAGCAGCCAACGACCTCCTCCTTCGCGGTGAAGGCATTGTAAATACACCCCTGGCAAATGCTGGGTGGTACATCCTAAGCATTCACGCATTGAAGGAATAGCTTGGAAGAGTGACTCCAAACCTCCACTCAGCTTCATTTGATCCGAGGAGTCACCCATTGATGGAATCTTCTTGCTATATACGGTCCATTTTCACCGCTGCATTGCGGTAGACGTCCGACCTTGAAATAATTGCACTTCGATTTTCAGCTTTGAGTTCTTCACCTTTGGCCATGGTTTCTACTTCAATACAACAAATTCCACTCAAACGATCGATGTAGTTTTCAGACACTGCCGCTTATTCACTAATGACTGCATTTTTGCCATTCACTACCCTGACTACACTGAAGCATGATCTTGCACGCCGCCACGCACATACTTCAAGTCCTACACATTCTGACCTTGCGCGCAACCATTTTCACTACATTCAAATTGTTTTGCGATCCTTTCAGCGTTGTGCCCTGGGCAATACTTTTTGCTCTTTGAGTCCTACTACAAGCCCTCCGACCATGACGTCCCCCCTCGACATTGCTCTAGCTCATCGGCTACTACTGGCTCACCTACAAGCAGCCACATCCTTTGCCACCACATTTCAAAACTTGCCACTTTTCACACCACATCCGCCCCCACCGGACATCTTATCCACTCCTCCTATTTCACATCGAAGATCACACCACCACCTCCGCCCTCAGTCTCACGTCGCAGCCGCAGTCCACCACCCACTGCTGGCAAACCACACATGCGACGCAAGCCAGAACTTTCACTTTCACCCTCTTATACACCGACCTCCCCACACCAACACTCACCAACCAGACACTCACCAACAAAACAACTTACGCCACCAACACCGCCACATGGAACAGGCACATGGCAACTTTCTCCACATGCACCACAACCAGCTTATTCCCTGCACAGCTCTTCTAGCACACCACCGCCACCTCCACCACCACCACTACCACTTCACCCACCACCAGCACCAGTCCCCTCCCCGCCATATCCAGACAATGGAGGCTGGGAACACAGTGATGATGAGAAACTAGCATCACTCAAGCTCAACAAACGAGCCCGCCCCAGTTGGAAGCAGATGGCAAAGACTCTCAACAAAACCCCATTTGATTGTAAGGGCCGCTGGCAAACTTTGCAGATACTCTATACACCCCAACCACCAGAAAGCATTGACACGAAATCTCCTTCAGCTGCTGCAGTTGACCCACCAGTTACTCGAGATGCCAGTACGATGACATCTGATGACCAGACAAAACAACAGAGACACGTGAAGTAGCAGCCTCACACCACGACCCATGAAAAAAGACTGATAACCTACGCAGTACTTACGATTGTCAAAGGCTTGGCGCGGTCGATCAACTCCACTCCACCAGACATTCACCACAACAACAGCTTCCACTCTGATTGGCCACATTTCCACCAGTTTCACCCAACGCCACATACCACTCGCTCGGCGAAAAAGACCGAGCATTGCTGGACTTCCATTTGCAGCGACTCTACCGCTCGGACACTCTGATTGATACACACCATGCCAGTTTCTTTGATCACTTTCATGTTACGACGCGCGAATACAGTTTGCGCCTTCCTCGATTGTTCACGAGCTGCCCTTCATGTGATTTTGATTGAAGAATGGGTCTTTTGATCTCCTGATTTCGACGAGAAGTTTTATCCTTAATGCTTTTCAACATGTGGCCCTCACTGACTTGACACTTTCTGCGGCCTCTATGAAGGCACCGCGTTTGCTGCGAAATTCGTGCTCGACAATTCACGCTCGATAATTCATTTGCACGCTTCAGCCGACCGTTCACGCTACCTGGGTTGCCGCGCTGAGCTTGCCGCGCTGCCGCGCTGCTGTCCACAAACATCCATCAGCCAAGCTGTCACACATGATGAACACTAACCCCGACCAAGCCAAGTTGATTCACCGCGCCACTATCGCTCTTACACAACTACACCGCCTTCTCCAACAAGCAACTGACATTTTGGCAGATTTGCACAGTCTCTACCTGCTCCATACAAGACAAGTTGACAATC